GGGAATGTTTTTTCGATTGATGAATGATTTGAATATAAACACAGAAAAAATGAAAGATGACTGATATGAATTGTATAAAAGGAAATTCAGTTTTGCGTCATAAATCATGCCCAGATACAATAACAAGAAGAACATTGTACAATGATAGAATGTAATTGTATAGAAAATATCATGGAAACTGCATTCTAGTTATAGCTAACACGAGGAGTGCAAGCATAAATCGAAATAAAATCGTAGACACACATAATTGGAGCAAAAGTATATGGATTTACAAATTTCAACAAGAGTGGATTATTTACATTTTCTACATTATTTAAGGCTGAGATTGATCGTCATTAATATAATTTCATTTGTTGTAAATCCATGGGATATGTCAACAAAATACAACATTTGCGAAAATTATACATAGAGTGGATCGAAAGACCACTTACGCAATTCGGTTAATAGTTAGATTGACTGTCGACAACGTCACAAGATGGCTACAAAGGGATAAAAGACATATGGCCAATATAAATATAATTAAGAGATTTGTTTTAATTTATAAATACAAAGTTTCTCAGAACGTGATGCATGTATTATTGACGCACAACGTAAATTCTAAATAAGACAATATAGATCAAACATGTCCAAAAAAACAAGCGCACAAGCACTTTCTTCTTCACAATTCTTAATTTAATACTATATCTTGCTTTGTTATATATAGGTTACAGATAGAAGCGTTTAATACTCTTTTATTATCGCTCATATATCAAAACGTTATTTAATTAGAAAGCTAAAAATATTTTAACATTACCTTATTAAATTCTCGTTGGGTGTCCTGTATCTATTTTGTACAGATGTCTTGTTTCCATCGACTGAAAGATATATATTTTTGTGTTAATTCCTTGCATTAAACGATGCTTTAATAATGTTGAAATAATATATCATAATATTTAATATTTACCTCTGCCATGTCTGTGTACTCGACCAGCTTCTTGAAACGCAAAATGAGCGCGGAAGAAGGCCCGCAGGATGGCCCATCTAAATACGGCGACCGGATCAGCGCCGACTAACTCTCGCACGAAAGCAAGAGAAGAATTTTTCAGTACTCCGACTACGCCATCGGGTCGCATCAAATCTAGATTCTTTTCTCTCATATTGGCAGCTTGATACTTGACCGCACCAGCATAATGACGAACAACAAACGCCGCTTCTCGGCGCTGTGGCGCTTCGTAAAACGGATTTTCTTTATTAACAGTGTTAAATTTCTGTAGCAACGTTTCGTTTGTTGCACCAGGAAAGCTACGAAACAAAGTTAAATGTTTGAAATATATTTATTTCAAAAACTTGTGAAAAAGTGTATTCAAGAGATAATACTAACTTGCACTGATCGTCAAGAAGACATAAAAGACCGTTTGGTTTCCCTTCGATGAGATTAAGACATCCAGAGTTGTCGCTGTACCCTATGTCTGTCCATCTAATCCCCTGCTTTCTGTATTCTCGTTGTTCGTATTGGAAAACATGTTGGTTAAAGTAATGTTGTAATTGTTCATTCGCATAATTAATGCATAACTGCTCGAAACTATTACACGTTTTAAAATCTTCAAAGCCAAATATGTCTAATACACCTATACTATTGCCTTGATGATCTCTGAGAGTATCTTTTTTAGAAAGTAGGGCATGATTCACCTAACACAAATAATAAATTATTTTATGTGTCGTGCAGTTAATAACCATAATTGTTTATATAAACGAAGGCATTTATATTACCTGCAACACAATCCAATCAAATAAAGCTCCATACAAACACTTTGCCATGGCATCGCGTGCCGCAATCGCTTCGGGAAGTCTATAGTTAATAACTAAAGTCTCTCCGGAAGCTCTTGCACGTTTGGCAGTGAGTGCAGCTAACAGAGTTTCTTGTTTTACTCGGAGAAGCTCTGATATCAATGCAACTACTTCTGGATTTTTAACACCTACAGCTTCGTCGTGATGGTGATACGATTTTCTCGGATAAAATTCAACATTACCTAAATCAAGAAGTTTGTTCTTTTCAGCTAAACTTCTAGCACAGATGCACTTTCATCCTTTCTTTTTTCTCTCCACATTGAAGAAAAAAAGAGAAAATATGAATGGAGCAAGAAGTTTATTTAAAAAGAACAAGCTTAAGAATCCAGAGTTAATTTAATGATGCATATGGTATGGACATGGGCGCCGACAGAATTACTTGCAGGGAGGTGCACTCAGAAGAATTCAAATTTGAAATAAATTTGGATAGCAATCAAGATAATTCAAGTTTTTCAACATTGATTTTTCTAAAATTGATTTTCCAAAGTTTTATTACAAATATTAATTAATATTTATGCACTTAATTTTCAATTGAAAAAATTATTTTCACATTATGTGATTTATTTTTTTCCTATAGATTTTCCATTTCCCAATTATATTATAAAGAATACAAATGCACTCCCTTGTACTTCCCTCGCGGCGCCCATGGATATGGATGAGTTGATAATCACCTAGTAAAAGGACTGCCGACAGAACTGCGAAGAGTCGTCTTTGCTTCTCTGCTGTAAAGCCCACCATTTCCATAGATTGTTTTAATCTCGAGAATTCATGTCGTTCATCAATATTTTCTAGTCCGTAACAACCGCTTTTATTTAAGTAATTGTACCGATCACAGCTCTCCAAATGCAACAGCTGTTTCTCTTGCTCGTTTGCGCCAGCCAATAAGTAATAAAACACGTGATAATTCCTCTCATTCCGTCCTTGAGAAACAATCCTGGATTTCTCGAGAAGGTATTTTTGAACCACAGCACTATAAAATGCATTTAGATCACTTTTGTTACAGTTTATATTTAGTATATTATATTATATTATACATTATTATTGTTTATTACATACCCATGAACCATTCCATTTTCTTTGTAATTTACTTGAATAAATTTTCCAAAGCGACTGCTATTGTTATTATGGGCAGTTTTTGCATTACCAAATGCTTCTAGAACAGGTCCAGCGCTGAGTATCGTTTGTTCCACACCGCTGCCATGTGAACCCTTTTGACTAAGTGCTGTCAAATGATGTAACAAGAAATTCGTTGATTCAGTTTTACCAGAACCGCTTTCACCACTGATAACGATACATTGATTCTTCTTCTCCTTAAGCATACAATGATAAGCTGCATCGGCTATGGCAAATATATGAGGAGGTATGTCTGGACCCAGCCTTCTGTTTTGATATAATTTTACATATTTTGGATTATAGATAGGATAGAATTTGAATGGATTCAAGGCAATCAGTATACTGCCAACGTAAGTATATATATTGCCAGCCAAAAACCTCGCCCTCAGATTGTCCAACAATGTTTGCTCATTCAGATCTGGAAGCTGACATAGATCTGGGTATTCCTTGTCACGTGGTTGATAAAGGAATCTATTAAAATAGTCCTTTAGGAGTTGAGGATCCATAGGAAACCTACTGTCAGACCATAAATAGTCTGGTTGCTTTTTTCGTAGATAAAATCTGAAAGATAAAGGGAAAATTATTTTGTAATAAATCACTCTAAATCGAGCATTAACAATAAAACGTAATTATGTTGAAATATAATATAAGACCTGTAGTATTCTTGCTGAGTATCATTTTTTGGCCACAGTAACATGAGTGCTACGGGGCATTCAGCGGGGCCAAGTCTTCTTTCCTTACATTCTTGACCAACAGAATTCCCTACCACTTCTGCTAACTCATAGCCATTCGAAACAGAAGCTTCAATCAGTCCGAGTCTTTCAATAATACATTCTACAATCTCGGCTGATGAAGTTTGTTTCGTAGCTTTAATGGAGAGCGCCTCATATTCAGGGCTCCATTCACCCACGAATACTTGCACTACTCCAGATCCACTGTTGTCCATTTTTCAACCCTGAAATCATGATTACAAAGCTAAAAAATAATCTATTTAATATTACATAAATCAAATCATTTTAATAGCATACCTGGTATTGAAGAGGGTTAGCAAATATATCCTCTATCATCTATATAGTATTTCAAATGCGTTGTTTCTCCTTCTTGTTTACTCGTTATATACAACCACTGATTTAAGCGTTTAAAATAATTATTATACATTTTGTTTTACAAGCTTGGTACAATACAACGTCAATGTTTATAATTATTTACACGCGTTAAATCTATATTATACTTTTGATGCAATTTGGATTATTTCTTGCCAAATACATTTGCCAATTGGCTAGGTTTTGAGAGGTAATCAATTTTAATTATACGCGTATCACTTAAAATTTTAAAAATAAATTTATGTGATATAAAATAAAAATTTGTATCTCTCCTGGTCATAAAGAATATCAATAAGAAATTGTAAAGCCCTTCCAAATTATTTCTAGGTCTTTCTCAATATATCATAGAGTATTCCAACCATTGGTTAATAATTAATGTAATAAAATAGAGAATTATTATATTCCTTCTTTTATAGATTTATACGCTCAGTCAATTCGATAGGTCCTTGTTCCTGATTTGTTCATTAAGAGTTAGAGTATTTTTATAATTGTAGAATAGCCTGTTTTATCTGAATATCATGCGTTTAACACGGACTGTCCATTGGAACCTCTCCGACAGCATTAAATTATTATCACAACATTCACTGAACAGGTGACAAGCGTGGGTGTGCTATTGTTGGTAGGCAGTAACTTAGTTTCCTTGTTCTGACAAAAATCCAAGGTTTCCAGAGCGCATTGTAAATATTCTCGTGCCTCTTGAGTATTTCAGCATATTTATTGCAATAGTTCACGGCTGTATCATTTCCATCTATTGCACGAAACTTTCTCTAAGTCAGAAAAGTGTCCTATCTGAAAAAAAGTATACAATACATTAAAATAAAGAAGTAGGCAAAAATTGGATTATTTTATATCATTTATGCTTGTTTTCATGCATGTAGATTAATTTTAATCTCGACTCTTCTTTTTTTAAAAATCTTTTTTTTTTAATTGCAAGAATTAGAAAAAGATAAAAAGAATCGAAATTAATTGAACCAAAATTAAAGTTAGTATACATTAATGAAAACGAGCAATTTAATTAGCTACATCTTAAAGTATAGATGCTTTCTACTTAATTTAATACAAAAGGGTTGATATCTTGAATCGATCCAGAGAGGGATCACGTTACACGCATACAAAATAAACTTAATCCCGACTTTAGTTACGATGTAACGCCTCTTAGCATGCGACGTAAACCAGAATGAAACAGGTGCATTGCATTTCTATTTTAAAGCAAGCGCGTCAAGATAGAACGCACATCGTAAATCATGTAGGAGGACGAGGGGGGCTATTAGAACGGCTATTAAAAGCGAAGACAGATAAGAATAATCGAATTTTTGTTTTTAGCGACGCCACCATGCAGTGTCCGCTACGTGTCTCGTTTCGGACCATCGGATGTCACACACGCACGTGTTGCGCGCCGTGAAGCCGACGATGCACGATTAAATTTAAAAATATCTCACCTCCACTCCAGGACGTTTTTTCCGAGGAAGCGCGCGCTCCCGCAAATAACCGTCTTGTCGCCGCTGTAAATGTTGCACGAGAAAAACACCAGAGAGTCGCCCCTCCTGTCGTCGGTCCACAGGGGACTCTCGGTCCCTCGTGAGAATCGCGTCTTACACACGTTCGTAAAAAAAGGAATTCCGCGAGACTCGAGAGCGGTATTTACGTTTCCGCGATACCACGATCGTCCGTTCCTCCGCACAGCGAGTGTGGGGGGGAAGCCGACGGCCGTATGACATTTGGATACGCGGGGTCTTGCGCCGTACAGATTGACGGGTCACGGACCGTGTCTGCCAATCAGGGCCAGCTCGGGCGACAAGCGAACGTCAACATGATAAACCACGCTTAAATCATTACAGGCGTTTCTAGAGCAAAAGCTGAATCACGGAGCGCAACACGTCGCGGTATCACCGCGAAGGAATGCATCGTTGCGAGGCACAGCGAGGCATGCGTGAATGCCTGCGTGTTCGTTCACTCGCTCGCGTGCGTGCGTGCATGCGTGCGTGCGTACGTGCGTGCGTGCGTGCGTTCACTCGCTCGACCTCGCGATACTTATACATCCGTCATTACCTCCTTCGTTGATCGTGGGATCCACGTTGCGATGCATCCTTGTCCTCCAAGAGCAGCGGGGCCCGCGCGATGCGCTCGGGCATGCTGCCGCGGGCCGGGAGGCCCGCCGCCGTCGCCGCCGCGTGAAAATAAACCGCTGTCTCGTCTCCTCGTGTAGATCCCACAGATATGATCGCCTTCTCTCTCCCCTTCTCGCATCCGCTTCGCCGAGTCGGCACTGCGACGCGGATCAGATCCCTCACGTCTGACGTCGCTGGCTGGCCGTGCGCACGCCGTCGGATCGCGATTCGCGGATGGACCCGCAGAGCAGCAGCGAACCGGCCCGCTCGCGTTAAGCGGCAACGCCGACGTCAACGTCGTCAACCGTGCCACCGTATTTCTCGTGCGGTCGACTCGAGGGACACGAGCGGACAATACGGTGGACACGCGCGCGTACAATACGGGTGGGTTGACACTTTGGTAAACACGCGCTTGCCCGTGAGCTTTCAGCCTTCGATCGGCCACCGTCGGGGATCGATCCGCACTCCACAGTGCGCACCGGCCTGGACACTCTGGACCGCGGAGTCCCGTGGACGGTGCTTGAAATCGCGGCGATTCTACCCTGCCGTGGCACCTCGCCACGGGATATCACACTCGCGAGGATTCACACACAATCACCGATCACCACGGGATCTGACGGGGCCCTTGCCCAGGTTTATCGTCCTTCGTCTCCACACGGGATCCTGCGTCCCGATACGTCTACCATTTCGATTTTTTCGGTCACGTGGTACGCGCCGGCGGTCGCCGATTGGTCGCGGCGGGCACGACGACGTCGACGACGTGACCAATTGCTGATGCGCTTCCATCGTTCGTTCGAATGCCATTCGGTCGACGATGACGATTTTAAAGCCATCTCTTGCTGGTACGAAGAAACCTCTACGATCGTTTCGTCGCTCCGTTTCGCGGCTCTTTTAATAGCTCTTTTGCGTTTAGTAGAAAAAACAATTAGTGAGTTTGGATACAACTATTGTAGATTCTTTAAATATTATTTAGTTTTCCTTTAATTTCTCCGTCCAATAAATAGAATCTAAATGTAAACAAATCATATTAAGGATGAATGTCGCATTTAAAAAATATGCTAAAAGTAGGAAAATTTCATAGATTGTTCTGTTATTTATTATATACGTCTGAGTATCTTTAGAATTTTGAGCATAATTTTCTTATTGGTTTAAAAATTTATTTAATTTATTTAATTTTTTGTTTGTTTTTGTTGTTTCTTGATTCTTACGTAAAATTACATATTTTGTAATATTTATTCGCAAAAGAAGGAACAACTTTCACTTTTCGAAATTAACCATCCAGAAATCGTTTTTTCTGGTTTCATTCTGGTTTTTTTCTTATATTATACACTTTTCTTTATAGAAATCGAAAATTATTATTATTATAATGACATACTACACATTCAAGGTAAAATTAATACATTCAAATAAAGAATAAAATCTTTATTCACATAATCGTTATGAAATCGTGTCAATTACGTTTCAATCATTTAAAAAATTAATTCAGAGTTGTTGATTCTCTGAATTATACATGTAGCTTCAATCATTTTTAAATGATTGAAGCAAACTGGTAACAATTTCGTAACGATTGATGTAATTATTCTTATTTTATATATATACATATATATTATATATATAAAAATATAATATATATATATATATAAAATATGCTATATAGCTGAAAAACATCTTCAAAAATCTTACAACAGTTGCAAAGCTGTTTTTTCCGCTGATCGTAATTCTTTTTTCTTTTAAATTTTTATCGCATGATATACATAAAAACGACACGAATTTAAACAGGCATAATTGATTTTGCTCAACGTGTCATCATTGTCGAGTCGATGCGTAATTGTTGTTACATTGAGTCACCCGATACGGAACGTGAGATTACATACGTCATAACGTCGTTATCGACTTGAAAGTATTCGTGATGACGCGGTGACGGTCGTTTCTGCGTGCGCAGGTCCGTGACAGGATCGCGCACATTCAATAGGCCTGTTCTTTTTAGCTTAATTTCTTGCACGGTTCAGCTTTTCTCTTTTTCTCCAATGTAGAGAGAAAACGAAGAAAAATGAACTTTAACTAAAAAGAACAGACCTAAAATGATTCAAACTGAATCTTGATTACCGACACGATTGACGTCGCGATCTGCCGTGAGAGGGCGCAATCAGTTTCGCTGTGATCAACAACGAGGCGCGAAGATTGTGAAGTTCGTGATTGCGGTTGCAAGGAATGCAAGGATTAAGGTAAAAATGACTTATGCATTGTAGTTATCTTATTAAATAGCAATAGATGTATATTTTCACATAAATTCTTAGAAACATTTACTTATGTTTTGGAGGCATCTTTAAAACGTGAACGTCCTTTAGACGTCACTGTGTTGTGTGGGTTATGTTAAAATGTGTGACATTATTCATCTTGTCGCGTAGGCGGGTTTTTTAATTCAATCGTATAATACGAAAATTCAGCTTTTATGAAAAAAATTGCATGTGCGCGTAATGTAATTAATCAATGAATGAATTATTTATCACATGTCTTATTTATCACATACTAACCATTTTATTTATCACATACCAACCGCATATCTCAAAATGAATGGATCAAAATTTTTAATGAAGGAGACATGGCAGCTTTCTTCCTTTTCTTTTTGTATCGTTTATTTTTAATTGGCACCCGTATTTTTTATTTTTAATTGGCACTGCTGGCAACGATCTGATCTCATGGACTAGTCCGTCCATTACGCGGTGTCTACAACAGAGGCTGCGTTCCGTTATTCATTATTGTATTAAAAATTTATACAGTATACGTAACGTGAACTATAGATTTTCAATATTTGTAATGAATTATAACGAAACGCAACCAGAGTTTTAAGTTTTAAATTATAAAAATTTGACCAATCAAATATGAGAAGAATAATAACCAATTATGACCAACTTCTTACGGCTTAAGGCTATTTTATTATAGATATCGCTTTAGATCGATCTTCCTCTTTCCTTTTTTTACGATGTATCGCTAAGATCCGAAATATAATAATAATAATAATTATTATTTTATTGAGCTAGGTAGAAATATAAATTAGCAGAAGTTAAA